ATGTTGGGTAGTGTGGTATGGTACACACGTTTCGAATGCGTTAAACATGGATACATATCAGGTTTTTCTTGAATCACAAACGGGCTCCAAGCAAAATTGATCCCGTTCACAATGTGTGGTGATTGACAACCCGTATACATTTACATTTCACCCTGACTGCCTGAGGTTAACCTAAGGGAGCTCATTTTAGTCTAAGGGTTTGGATCCCGTTTCCAGTTTCCGTAAGTGGTATTGTCGATCTTGGAAAGGAAGCGCTAGCTACAGGGTGTGACGCCAACAAAGACCCAGGAGTTTGGTTGCAAAGCTAAGTATCAAAACAAAATTCATCGACTAGAAGTCGAGTTCCAAAATATGTTTTCCCGCTCACAGTCCTTTTAGTACTTCCGCGAATGGGAGTTTTACATGAACCATCAAACCGTTGAGCAGCCACCACTTCGTGCCCCTGAAAAATACTTGACTCTCGTGCACTATGCTGATTCGCCGTGAGATGCGGGGAGGGGGGGGTCCTAGAAGTGAATAATATTAACTACACGATGATGATATGAGATGCATAAACAATAGCCACATATAGAGATCTTTCTAGAGGATTAAATTCTAAACAAATCCAGGATTATCATGATATGGGTTGTCACTGTGAAAATAATATATGATGGTTTGAAAAAAACACTTAACCATCAGATATTCATACAATTGTGCTATTATCGATATATTTTCACGTGGTTGATATTGTTTCAGAATACCCATGGGAGGGATGAGACCAAGGTGTCATACTATGTACAAGATTTTAAGGATATTTGCGTACATGCATCACCTTCCGGTAGAATCGATTGCCGTTACATAGGATTTTGGGATGCCATGGGCATCCACAAGCAGCCGAGACAACTTATCCAGAAACCCTCCTTGAATGAACGCCTCATGCTGGCCTTTCTTGCCTGCTCTTAGGCAAGGGGAAAGGCAATAAGCAGAGAGGAGGGAAGAGGCAAACATCGAAATGGGTGGGTTTCGTGCAAGAAAAGAGATGAAGATAATTGGGGAACCAGAAGGAGAGTTAGAAACGAGGGGGAATACCATAGGAGTACAGAAGAAAGGGTGGAAGATGGGAATTTTCAGCAGACAAAACGGCGCACGGAACATCTGCACCAGGGATGGGTTCCTCCAAAAGGATCTGCAGCACTACAGGGCTATACTCACCTGGCTGGGGCTGTGCAGTCAGTGGGCTTTTTTTACGAAAGACAATGCATGAACGAACCTGCTGCCAGACCTGGTAGGTTCGGGACCTGGTAGGTACGGTCGGTATAGCCCTGGCACCTGGTGCAGCAGCGCCCACCTGGCACTTCAGCCACATATGTGCTCGAAGCAAGCTTCTTCCGCAACTCAGCAGCGAGCGGCTTAGCCTCCACCAGATAAGCCTCCACGCCTGTCACCCGCGTCACCTTCCTGTTGCCCTGCCGCCCCCTCACAAATATCTGCACTGGTAATACCTCCCCCTTCCGCTCCACACTCCTCCCCCCTCTCTCCACCCTATGCTGTGCCTGCATGCGCCGCAGTAACAGGGGGCCTACGTCTCGCTTAGGGCACTCTGTTGGATATTCGACGCCATTTTTTATCGCGCCTTTGTACAGTGCGTCGCAGAGCGTTGCATCGAGGATGACTATAGAGGGGTCGGAGGGCTTGGTGAGGGAGTGGAGAGAGATGTAGGAGAGAGCGGCTTTGTGAACAGCTGAGGGGGAGTAGAAGGCGTGTGGGTCGAGCCCTGCGGCTTCAAAGACAGGAGACACGTGGAGAGACGGTTTGAACACCTCTTCTACCGTTGTGGTGGTTGTGATGGAGCCGGTTCCGGTAGCTATCCCTGAGCTACCTTGGGGTGCAGTGACAGGGGCTTGGGCGGGTTTGCTTGGCTTGTGTGGCCAGAATGCGAGGAGGGCCTGGTGGCGGTGGTTGATGGATGAGATGATGAACTCCTTGCGGTGCTTGTCCTCCCTGCCGCTTATCTGAGAAGGCAAGGGGGGAGGGCGGCGCGGGAGATGGGTGCAGTACAATAAGTGCAAAGGAAGGGGTGGGTGGGTAGATGAACTGGGTAGATATGACCAGGAGATGAAGGGGCGGGGGTAGATGTGACCAGGAGATGCGACCAGGAGATGCGACCAGGAGATGCGACCAGGAGATGCGACCAGGAGGTGTGAGCAGGAGATGTGATGAAAACGTGGACGTACTCAGCACCCACACACACTCGTTTACAATTACACTCACTCTCACACCTATCTAACTCAAACGCACTCACCAGCCCATCAACAGCCTTGGCATGCAGCCATTTGCTCAGTTTCTTATAAGACGATTTTTTTATGTCCACTGTTGTGTCGGGTGGGCGGCATGGCAGCACATGATTGGACCTGCCGGCACCAGTACCATGGCGGTAGGGCAGCAGGGAATCACATGATTTACAGCCATGCACTTTGCATTTGCGACATGAGAAGACACGAGGACACCACAACCCTCAACGTTTGGAGAAGAGAGGGGCAGGACATCATGCCATGCCATATTGGTGCGACTTTTGAGAATTCTCAAGAGAGGGGCAGGACATCCTGCCATGCCATATTGGTGCGACTTTTGAGAATTCTCAAGAGAGGGGCAGGACATCATGCCATGCCATATTGGTGCGACTTTTGAGAATTCTCAAGAGAGGGGCAGGACATCATGCCATGCCATATTGGTACTTTTGAGAATTCTCAAGAGAGGGGCAGGACATCATGCCATGCCATATTGGTGCGACTTTTGAGAATTCTCAAGAGAGGGGCAGGACATCATGCCATGCCATATTGGTGCGACTTTTGAGAATTCTCAAGAGAGGGGCAGGACATCATGCCATGCCAGCAGCAGGGAGCAGGAGACTTGTATGGAACAAGTGGCAACGCGCAGTTCAAGCTTCCACTCTTGTCCTATGTGTAATATCCTGCCCCTCTCTTCTTATCCTGAAGAAGACAAGAGCAGGCAGGCCGAGGAACCGAACAAAGGTCACTGGAGAAGACAACTCTTGGGCCGCTCACCAGAGGGAGCATACAAAAGGGAGCTCCGGCCTAAAAGGAACCTCACCAGAGGGAGCTCGCCGCCAGGGGCAGGTGGGAGGGCTTCACAGAGACAGAGAGGGCCTGCAGCAGACAGTGCTCTAGCAACTGGTCCATCTGTGCTGGCGTCATTGGTGGTGGTGCTGGTGCTTCTGCTGCTGCTGGTGCTGCTGCTGCAGGTTCGCACTCATCTGCACCAGGTGTTTGATCCCCCTCCCTGCTCACAACAGCATTAGCGGCAGCAGTGGCCGCGCCATCGCCATCACCACCACCACCACCAGCAGCATCAGCAGCAGCACTGCCATGGATGCCTCGGCATTGCAGAGACTCTGAAAGGTGCTTTGATAAATCTGCTGCCACTGCCTCCGCTGCTGCTGCTGCTCCTTCTGTTCCTGCTGCCGCTTCCGCTGCTGCCATTGCTGCTAGTCCCTCCCCAGTCACTGCATCCGACCCACACTCTCCACCACTCCCAACCTCACCCCGCCCTGCCTCCCTCTCCCCTCCACATGCCGCAGCAGCACCAGAGTCGCCATCAGGTGAACCTTCAGGTGAAACGCCAGGTGTTGCATCCAAGAGTGCAGGCACGGCATCAGGGTCAGGAGCAACCATATCTGGCAGGAAGCCCTTGTTGGGCGCATAGGAGCCTTTCGCACTCTCCCTGTAGTGGCATTGTGGGGAGGACGGGATGGGAGGGGAGGGGAGTATAGTTTTGAGGCGCCTCAAACTAGGCCTGAAATCGCAGCCATATCTGGCAGGAACCCCTTGTTGGGCGCATAGGAGCCTTTCGCACTCTCCCTGTGGTGGCATCGCGGGGAGGACGTGATGGGGGGGGGAGTTTTGAGACGCCCCAAAACTTGTTGGGCACATTTCATCCCTTTGCAGTCTCCCTGTAGTAGCATCACGGGGAGGATACGATGGGAGGGGGATGGAGGGGCCTTATATGACAACCCTAACCTGAGTGCAAGGTGGGCAGGAAGTGAAAGGGTATACGTACGAAGGAACTGGAGAAAAAATACATGCTCGGCCACCCGAGAAAAATGGTTGACGGTAAAGTCAGGTTGACCAAACATTGGCGGAGTGAGTGAGTGAGTGCTGGCGTCAGCTCGGGTGACTGTTGGGTTCGGTTCTGTTGTCTTCTCGGGGTGGTCCAGACATGTGTACACCGTTGGGACCGGTGTTACTGTGTTACCTACAAGCTGTTGGGTCATAGTGCGACCGTGCGACGTTTTACGCTCCACCAATGGTATGAACACCACACTGAATGAGAACAGATTGTTTGTCAGCCGTACTGAGCATTAAAAGTCGCGGTAAAAGTGTTTTTGATTCGACTCAAAACACAAGGCGTCATAGTGCGACCGTGCAACACTTAACGCTCTACCAACGCTGTGTGTGAGCACACTGAATGAGAACATGGTTCGACAGCCATATTGACCATAAAGAGGTGACTTTTGAGTCGACTCAAAAGTCACCTCTACCAGCGCTGTGTGTGAGCACACTGAATGAGAACACGGTTCGACAGCCATACTGACCATAAAGAGTCGCGGTAGTAGTGGGTGATTCGAAGGAGCTTGCCCCTCATGCCTGCCTGGATCACCTCTTCACTCCCTTGCATTGTGATGCCCACCTGGTGTGAGTTAAAAAATGTGTGCACCGCACACGCATGCAACAATCCATATGCACACAAACGCACGCACGCATGCTCACGAACGCACGCACGCACACGCATTTTAATATATAGCATATGTTAGTTTATAATCACCGGACGTGAGAGCAAGGCAACAGCACTAGAGAAGAGACAACCAAAGGATAGAAAGGCAAAAATGGGGAATGTGAGGCTCATGACCAAACGCTTTGTGATGCAATGGATGGATAACGGAGCTGCAGCCTGCATGGAGCAAAGGGTAAGGAGAGACTTGGTGCACGGATCCGGATGGACGGTTAGGATGCAAGGAGATGTGTACGTACAGCAATTGGGCAGGAATTTCCTGGAACCTTCACGGACCACACCTCCCCTGGTTGGAACGCTGGCAGGCCTGTGGCAGGCACCTAGCGGGCGACACATTGCAGGTGGGGAGAAGAGGGGAAAGAGGGGGTTCAGTGGGGAGAGAAGGGGGGGGGGGGGGGGACGAGGGAGGTGTGAGGGGAATGGGGTTGGTTGGTGGAAGGGAAGTTCAGAGACTGTGTATGGTGGTTGTTTAAGGGTTTTTGTTGTTGTTGTTGTTGTTGTTGTTGTTGTTGTTGTTGTTGTTGTTGTTGTTGTTGTTGTTGTTGTTGTTGTTGTTGTTGTTGTTGTTGTTGTTGTTGTTGTTGTTGTTGCTGTTGTTGTTGTTGTTGTTGTTGTTGTTGTTGTTGTTGTTGTTGTTGTTGTTGTTGTTTTTTTTTTTTTTTGAGTCCTGAAACAAAAAGCTGCACTGTACTAGGTGCTGCCTCCACAATACCCTCTCTCTACCTGCACGCCTGGCGCCATGAGGTCAGCCCCTGAAAGCAGATAGCGCGAAACCTCCCCACCCGTGAGCAGGAACGACGGCAGCAAGCCGGGTACACGCCAGAGCGCAAACACTGCCAATGGGATGCAGAATTGGGGAGGGGTATACAGGTCGAGGTGACAGGGTTGATTTGAAATCTGTACATGGAATGGAACATGACGGTTTTCGCTATGCATGTGTCAAAAACATGCATGTGAGCTTTTGAAAGAGATTGTGTCGGATCCAAACCATAGCCAATTCTCACATGGACGCGAAAGGACTATTATAGGTGAGTATGCATGCATCTGATCGAACTATGACACTTGCTCGCCTAGAAGCAACTCTCCTATACTTGTCGCCAGCAAGGTAAATTCAGCCTACACGTGATATGACCAAGACATGCGAAACATGCACTATTGTGAGCTGTCCTCCTCGCTTATCAGTGTGATAGACATCTTAAATCCTCTTTTCAGTCTTCATAATTCCTTCACAATCCCTACCTGGACGTATCTATTCCTTCAGTCCCCAGCCTTGCAGCCAACTCTCTTCCGTTGCACTATTCTGCGATACAGCAGTCATCGACCCTAGTCTGACGAGCTGCGCCTACAGCAGTCACGAGCAGCGCCTACAGCAGTCACGAGCTGCGACGCCAGTTTGACGAGCAGCGCCTACATCAGCGCCACACTTCCGGCACAGCAGCACGACGGGGGGTTGCCACATGGGTACCGGTTTCTGTGTAGTTACACGTGCGTGCGTGTGGTTACATGGCCGTGTGGTTACATGCCATGTGGTTACCAGTGGGGTAGATCTCGGTGCCGCGGCCGTCGCAGTCGAAGAGCATGGGCAGCCCGTTCTCGAGTCCGTACACCAGCACGCGATTCACCAGCCTCGTCACCGCCACGTCAGCCTCGACCACCAAGCAAACCAATCAATCGGAATACCTTGAAAAAAACATCGGGAAATCCGGAAAGAGTAAACCAGTAAAGACAGCAGGAAATCCGGAGAGCGCAAGCATCAGAGCGGATTAAGGACGAGGTGGTTAAAACGAACGGCGAGAATTCAATTCGAGGGTTATCAGGAGTCGAATGCGGGGACCTATTACGTGGAAAATAACCGGGAGGGGGGGGTGGGGGGGGAGGGGGCGAATTCGAGGGTTAAAGCGGAGAGCTACCAAGGAGCACCTTGGGCGGCAGGATCGCTACTAAGGAGCACCTTGGGCGGAAGGATCGCGTCCAGCTGCTCGTCAGTGGCGCCTGGAAACTTGTCTCGGATGTTTCGACGAAGCTTCTTGCGGTCCGCTCCTGACAGACGCTGCAGCCCGCGAACGTCGCTCGACTTTTTGAACATGACGGCGATCGGACGGCTAAAAGGAGAAATTGCAGGGCTTTGAATGCCGGTATGGCTTGAAGCTTTCTACTCTAGATGACTCTACTCCGAAGTCGCGGTTCGAAGGGAAAGTGTATGCGGATGGGATAGAAGAGAACTATGCAACAAAATGCGGAATCGGACTGGAAATATGGGGTGGGCTCAGGGCATGTAGTTTGCAGCACAATGCGGAAACCGCAACCCGAGTTGCAGTTTCATCAGAAATTTTACCGCGCAACCCAGCTCAACCGATGTTTTTCTGCGAAATTTCAAACCGAGCTCGCACAATCTCTCCCCAGATTTCGCATCCTGTATCACCGCTAAACGCATGAACGATTGGGTTCAGAGCGAACAGCTCCTTCCTAGTGTGAATCGATAGCAAAAGGACCCAAACTGACGCGTTCTCTGATACGCAACTCGAACCCGCTAATGGGTACGCGCCCTACCAGGTTCCCTATCCGACCCGTTAGATACTTTCTCCAGCAATGATACTCACTTCGCGGGAAATTAGGTGGCGTCGAAGCGGGAGGCATATTCGCGTTTGAGTTCACTTAGACCTGAGTAATATTCGAAGTAGCAGCCTTAGGCTTCAGCCAAGTCAGCTCACGATTGCACATCATTCCAGACTATTGTAAAAATCGTGCTTCTCCTTTCAAGCTTCCATAGCTTGTCCTGGTTAACGTTTCTGCCTCTCATGCGCTGCCGATTTTGGGTTATTTAGTTGAATTTTGTTTCGAAAGGCCGCAGTCCCACTTCTTTAGTGTCGCAGCTAGATTTCTACGAATCGGATTTCAAGATTCTAGGGATTACTTACTACTCGTCGAGTCCGACTCTCGCGACTCTCGTTGCTTCCAACCAGCCTCTTAACTAGCTTTTTTGAAATAGCCGCGCTGTTGGCGAAGTTACCGAAGCGGATAGAAGTGATCATGCTCGAGGCTACTACGATACAGCGTATATAGGTATGATTAGCAGCTCAACAGATCATGCAGCACAAGGGTTCAAGGAGTCATACGAGGTGAACAAGAGTTGTTACAATCACTGATACTCGTGTTAAAAATTTGACATCCAGGCACCCAAGCACCCACCTACACAAGGTTACACAACACCCACAATCACCCACATAAAGTACACACACACATGATCACAAGGCAAGTAACATCCATTGCAGCAAGCAGAGCCCCCTCGTCTTCCCCCCGCCACTACTACACGCTCTCAGTCTTGACAGCGGACCCGTCGGTGTTTCTAGGCGCTGCTGTTGGCGGCTGCTGGTTCTGCAGAGAGAAGGACACGGTGGGGAGATGGAACGAGTCAGTCGCACATGCACACGCGGGCGTGGTGGGCCCCACATAGGCTCTAAGACTCTGCCGCGCTGCTATGGTACAGCTATGGCTTTTCCGTGCGGCGCACATGCCAACATGATGACTCAACAGCACTTGCACACACGGGGGTGAGGTGAAAATGAAGGCACAGTGTGACGCTTGCTTGCTCCAAAGGAACAGCTAGCATGGAACAAACTCCCTAGCACATGGTTTCATGGCGGCATGTATGCAGCATACCGCACCACACCCCGCAGTATCGCCCTCTCACCACCACGCATCTCCCTCTCACCAGCACGCAACTCCCTCTCACCAGCACGCAACTCCCTCTCACCTGCACGCAACTCCCTCTCACCTGCATGCATCTCCCTCTCACCAGCATGCATCTCCCTCTCACCAGCATGCATCTCCCTCTCACCTGCATGCATCTCCCTCTCACCAGGGTTTCAGCCCGCACTCCTTCCGCTTTGCTACACACGCCTTGTCCGAGTCCGTGACCGGCGGGTTAACGCAAGAGGTAGGGATGTTCCTTTCAGCACAGGGCGCGTCTGCAAACGGGCGACAGAAAGGAGAGACTGTTGAGTCATCTTCTCGCTTCAGAGAGTGGGTCACCGAGAAGCGGCATCATTGGAGGCAGGAGCAATCGGACGGCCGCAATTTACCTCAAGTTGAGCTTTCTGGAAAGGGCGCACAGCATTACGGGGAGCAGGGAATGACCAGAAACCGCAGGAAATAAAGAATCTCTAAGTACTTGTGAGGGCTTGGCATGATCATTCTTACTGTTTCTTTTCTCAGTGACCCATTTGATAGCATCGATTAACCACCCCAGTTTGCGGCGACTCTGCTCGTCGTTCCCCGAGCTGGACTGAGCAAAACTCGGTGCGCCCTCCGCCGTGATAACGCCGGTGGTGTATACCACTCCCGAGGCACCTGCGGTTCACGCCATGGCGACACGTAGATTCGCGCAGGGGACGAGGGGACAGGGGGAAGTGATGAGGGGACTGATGGGGCGGGATTGACAGTGAGAGTGACAAGCGGATCTATCGCGTGGAGCCAATCTATGGCTTTTCCAGATGCGCGTCATTATCGCACGGAGATGCGCGTTACCATCGCACGTGCGTAAACATCTCACGGGAAATCATCGGTTATAAATGAGGTTTGCTACTTACCATCGGCAGTCATCCCGTCGCCAAGAAGCCGAACAGATCGAGCAGCAGCCGTGGAAGCGAGTGACGCGAGAGTGACGGTGACGGCAAGCAGGAGAACGAGAGCAGTAAGCAGACGCGCCATGATTACGAGCTAGTAAAGAGAATGCGGAAGAGAGTTGGAAACGAAGTGAATGAAGAGCTTGGGTGTGGGACTGATTCTTCAAGAAAATTCGAGTGTGCATTTGTATGGTGTGAGGGGGTCAATCGTGCTGGATGTGAATGGGCTGAAGCGCAGTGGCTCATGCTCAGTGCAGTCAGCTACCATCGCGAATCGCAATCCTCAGCGAATCACCATCGAGAAGGTAAGTGAGACGCGTTCCAACAAAATCGTTCATTTTTTATGAATCAATTGACTACTGGATGTTAGATGGTGTGGTACGGTGCACACGTTCTTAGTGCGCTAACTAGGGATGCGACACGGTTCGCTTGATTACAAACAACTTGCTGACCAGAATGGACCGCATTCACAAGAATGTGTGGCGTTTGTGTCAAATTATATGTTTACTGTTATCTAGGCTGTAGTGGGTTTAGCCTTAGGGGGTACAGTAAGTTGCTCGACACTTCATTGTATCCCCCTCCTTGCCCTAATCCACGACCACTCCTTCCTAGTATTCCAACATGGTATTAAGAGCGAAATGGTCCTTAGGACCGAATTTTTAAACGGGCCCACCATTACAATTTCGATCTGCTGCCCGAGTCGCGCCCCTAGGAGAAACGCGAAACGCGAAACGCGCCCTAGGCGAGACGGTTTTTCTGCCCTAGGCGCGTCCCGTCCCCTAGCTGCCCTAGGCGCGATTCTTCTGCCTAGTCACGTGCGACCCCTCCTTGTTGTAGAGGACTCTCCTCTACTTTGCAGGAACTGGGAATTGTTCTATTCAGTAGAGCACTCTCTTAGCTTTCTAACGAGCCGTAGATCACCTCGATCGCCTAAGAATCGAGCGAGAGATGGCTTTCAACGTGAAGGCTATGCTCTAGGTTGAAGGATAGGAAACTCTCTGGAATTTGTTGTCGAATGCACTGTGTACAAAGTGATTCACGTTTTCCAGTATGAAACATGCAATACAAAGCAAACAGATTTATAGCATGCAATCAACATCGAGTCGCACAAGTAACCTCGAACCGCGGTACACTCGCGAATGTTCGAGTAACATTTCGAAGGGGTGAAATTCGACACTCGAATTTCACCGAACCGAATGTCACTTCAATCTCGAATGTTCCTGGTGCTGCCATGTGGCACCGAATTGACACGGAGTGTTGTTCCCGTTGCCGGCCAATAACACGAGCGACTCCTTTGAATCATCCGCCTCGCCGGATGCCGTGTGCGCGTTGCCCTCTTGGTCCCGCGCCATCGATGGAGTCCAATCGCTCGGCCGCTTTCGACACGCACGCCAAAAGTGTCCCGGTTTGCGGCAATAGTGACACTTGCCGCAATGCTCGCTCCCACCCGACGATTCATTCGTCGCACCCTTGCTCCACTTGGACTTCTTTCCGCAACTCCCTCCGGAGTACATGGCGGTCCCCTCGCTCTCATTCGCGAATTATCGGCGACGTGATTCCTCATGGAGAAGCCAACCGACCACCATTTCCTTCGTCCAAGTGACTTGCACGCTATCGAGTGTCGTAATCACCGTCGACCACTCTTCCGGAAGGCCGCATAGCAAGGTCAAAATCCAATCCTCCTCCGTGACCGTTCCACCGAGGTCCATGAACGTTTCCCCGAGTTCCTCCACACGAGTCGCATACTCGTGCATAGATTCGCCCGCGCACATCTTCACCGTGTAGAACGCATTCCGGGCTAGGATCTTGCCGTGTAGAGTCTTGTTCACGTGGATCGTCTCGAGCCGCTTCCACGCTTCATGCGCCGACGCTTCGAGCTTGATGCACATGCGCACCGAGCTCACGAGATTGATGCCGATGCGCGAAATCAACGTAGCGAACGCCTTTTGGTCCTTCTTCTTCCATGCCGCGATGTCGCTCTCGTTGTCCGGCTTCTTCTCCGTTCCATCGAAGAAACCCCAAAGTCCCCGCTCCATCATGAGCACTTGGAACTTAAACTTCCACGCGGAGTAGTTTTGTCCCGTGAAAATCGGTACCGCCGACGTGTCGAACATCGTCGCGGTTGCCCAGGGTTCGCCGGAATTTACAACGACACCATCCAAGGAAGTGCGGGAGGCCTCGCTTGACGTCATCATGCTTGCTCCTTGTCGCGCGCGTAGACTCCTCCGACCAGCTCTGATACCACTGTTGTAGAGGACTCTCCTCTACTTTGCAGGAACTGGGAATTGTTCTATTCAGTAGATCACTCTCTTAGCTTTCTAACGAGTCGTAGATCACCTCGATCGCCTAAGAATCGAGCGAGAGATGGCTTTCAACGTGAAGGCTATGCTCTAGGTTGAAGGATAGGAAACTCTCTGGAATTTGTTGTCGAATGCACTGTGTACAAAGTGATTCACGTTTT